AGGGCGCCCAGGCTCTGGTTTCAGTGCCGCCTGCCCTCCCATCAGCAGGGGCAGGTGGGGGCGCAGCCCCAACGGCCTCTCCAGAGCCTTGCTCAGGGGCTGGTAAGGTGGCTGGACGGATGGCCCATGAGGTGTGGTAGATGGCCATGGCTCGTCACGTCTTGCCAGCCGGGTGGGCCTGTAGCCTCCCCAGGGCCAGGCCCCTGCCGGGCCTTGGGACAGTTCTTGCCATTGACCTTGGCCCACTTTGGCCTCAGGGCCTTGGGTGCCAGGGGCTCAGCAGAGCACCCGTCTGCTTCTGCGTGGGCACGAGGCGGCCGCAGGGGTAGTTCCCGCTCCTGGCTCAGCTTCAGGAAGGCAGCTGCATTCAGGCTAGCCAGTCTCTTGGGAGCTGGGTCTCCTTCTCGGCGAGCATTCTCATCTGGTGCTGGCTCTGGGGACAGGTCCCGACTTCCTCCTCCGAGGTCCCCCAGCCTAGGCCGCTTCTTGGAGGAGGCCCAGCCCCCAGCGGCCCGGTCTCGGCTGCGGTGGGGGTCCCCGCCTCGATTGCGGCGGGTGCCTGCCAGGCTGCTGGCATCCTCCCGCTCCAGCAGTAGGTTATTGAGGGCCTCAGCATTGAGAGACGCCAAGCGCCGCTTGCGGGGCTGGGGGGGGCTGGGTGAGGCCAGGGTCCTCACTGGATGGGGCAGGGCTGGGGGGCTTGGGCAGGTCAGGGGGCAGCTCATCAGCCTCATAAGCACTCCGTGGACCAGCCACATTCTCCAGGCGGGTCAGCAGCACTTTGCAGGCCTTAGGCTTCTCAGGAACCAGCGGGCGCTTGCGCAGTGGGTAGTTCTTGCGGCGCCCTGTGAGATGTCCTGGGCTGTCTGGCATGCCGGGCTCCACACCCTCAGCCCCCTGCTCCAGATTGGTGTCTTCCATCTCCAGGGGCTCCTGGTGGCCAGTGGGGCCCGAACTCAGCATGGGAAGGGACTTCCTCCGAGTGTGTGTCATGGAGCACGTCCAACCTGCAGGACAGACGTGGGCAATGAGAGGCTCCCTGGCCTGCCCCTGCCTGCAGCCCATACAGCCCCACCTGCAGCACCCTGGCCTACCCAGTCTGATTTTCCAGGGATCTCCCTTTCAGAGTGTGATGGCCCAAAGCAATCAGGCTACCCGCAGCTATGCAAGGACTGGTTCCTCTACTTCCTCTAGCCTAGGGTCTCTCTGAACTGAGCTTCTGGAGAGCCTGTGAACAATGCAGAGCCCAGGGCCAGGGGCCAGATGAGGTGGCAGCAAAGCTCTGTTGTCCTGCCCTTCTCCCAGTACTCACTGCAGGGCCATGAAGACACGGAGCCAGATTACCAACGCACTACGGCTCCCCTCCCCGACTCAGCTCAGGACTTACGAGGTTGGCCACGAGATGAGACGGACAGTGAGGTGTGGAGATGGGCAGCCTGCCTGCTGGGTCATGGAAGAGGCAATATCCAGTCTCTGAGGACTCCCTGTCTGGGCAGCTATAGCTAGGTCTTGCCACAACAGCCCCGTGAAGGGTGTGGCCAGGCTCTGAGGAGACTGAGGTCAGGGAGGTCTGGGCTGTCCTAACAGCCAGATGTACTTTGGTTCAGATTCCAGAGAAAAGCTCTCAAAGCATGCTGGTGCCTGGGAAAAAGGGTGTTGCTTAGGCTGGGACCAGCATACTCCCACGGGACAGGAACCCGGGGACCGTGCACTGGCCTGAACCCTACCAGCCACCACAGCTGGGGGGAAAAGTATCAAAGCAGAGCAAGAACTCAGCAAGCTACCCTCTCTGTGGGCAAGGTGCTAGCAGGGGGCAGGACTGGGAGAGGTGGAGCGTCTCAGCAAGACCAGAGTCCCCTGACAGAAAATGCCCATGGCCAGGCACCATCCCCTAACTGCCCAGGCGTGGCCACACCACATCCACCTGGGGTGGCCTGAGTCCCAGGTCTGAGCCAAAGAGGCCAGTGCAGCTGCCTGGCCAGCACTTTGAAGAGCTCTGGGGCCAGGAGAGTCAGTGGTCAGACACAACTGCGCTGTTCCCTTCCTACTCACCACCGCCTCCATGCTACCAAAGACGTGCCGGGCAACACTGCCCCTTGCCAGCCTCTGCGACCTTTCCCCAGCAGGCTCAGGCTCTTCGGTCTAATCTCTCTACTTCTGGGCCCGGATTTAGTCCTGGAAGTCCCCAGCCTGAGGGCTCCCAGGGATTCCTGAGTCCCTTCCTGTGAGCTCCTGTGGCCTTGGGCCAATGACTGGGATCTTCTCTCCAGAGACACTAGTTGAGAAAAAGAGTTCAGAGAAGCAGGCTGAGGGCAGCGTGGGCGACCCTCACTCCTGAGAAAGGACTTGGAAAACTGGAAAGGGCAGGCAGTGTGCCAGGCTTTACTCTGGCCACGTGTGGGGACACGCCACTGCCCGGAGACCAGGCCCCAGGCAAAACACAGTCACGGGAGGCAAATCCATTCATTCCTGAAGCACAGAGCAGATACTCCTAAAACCTCCAGGCACCTGCTAGGCTCCATGGACTTTTCCCGCTTCTAGTCAGCACGACCTGGCCCTATCTGCTCAGCTGGGACGGTGGCAATGCCTTTTACTCTGGCCCGACCACACAGCCCTTTTCTCAAACCCAGAGCACCCTGGGCCAGAGGCAGGGGAATAAGCAAGAAGCGGCAGCACATCTGTCCTTCCGAGGATGGCCAGGGCCAAAAGCCCTCCCCCGCCCCCAGGGGCCCGGAGATGGGGGACCAATGAACTGACGGTGCAGCTGAGCAAGGCTGAAGCCCCTCCACAGGCCCCATTACCAGAGGAGCTGGGCCTTGGATGGCTGAGGGCCAAGGCTGAGGTCACCTGGGCTTGTGGCCTTCCAGGACGTGGACACCGAGTGCAGAGCAAGAAGCGAGTGAACGGGAAAGAGGGAGGGGAAACTGGGAGGTGCTTCCAGGCCCAGCTGTGGCAGCGCTCTTAGCAGAAGTGACTGGCTGCACAGCCGAGAATCCTGGGACACCCGCCCAGTCTCTACCACAAAAGACGAAAGACGCAGAAGGTCCCAGGCAGGGAGGCGGGAAGGAGACGCAGGACCTCCACCAAACACCTTTTGCTTCCAGAAGCCTGCCCCTAGATCCTGAGAATCCGCTCTTTAACCTCCCATTCAACCCTCCAGTCCCTTCGGAACACCCGCTGGCCCCACAGGGGTTGTTGAATGACCCAGGGAAGCCTCCAAATCACATTTCCTAATAAAGCAGAAGAGCCTCCCGCTTGCCTCTCCTAAAATCCCCCCAGGCTGTCAGAAGCACATGGCAAAACAACCCTGGCTTTCACGTGGCCTCCGGCTGACACAGCCACGTACCGTTGGGGCTGGGGTCCCTGCTGCCTGCCTCTTTCTGGCTCCACACTGAGAGTGTGCGTGAGTCATGCTTTGAAGCCAGGCAGATCCGTGAGAACCTAGCTGTCACTTTTCCCTGGGGTGGGGCTGGGTGGAGGGGTCCCAGCCTGCCATGGCCCCTCTAGCCTGCAGGGGCTGGCCCAGTGGGGCTGGCTGGGGGAAAATCATCCCAGAAAAGCAAGAGGCCTGGATCCCATCTAGCCTGGCCAGCCCTCTTGCTGCCCCTCCCACATATACACTGGCTCAACCTGGAACTTTCTCCCACTGCCAAGGGACAAGGTGCGCTTGGTTCTCTCGGCACCACCCTCCTCCTGAGAAGACAGGGCTTCCCAGGCACAGTAGTCCAGGCCCCTCTGGGAGAAAGTTCCTACGAGGGACTCCCCAGGGCATATCACCTCTTACCTGGCCTGTGTCAAACAAGCTCTCACTGGAGAAAACCAGTCTGACTGTCCCTGGCTCTGAAAAGCTGCCATGAAAGATTATGGCTGGCCAGTGGGCCTCCCGGCCAAAGGCCCAGAGAAGCACGGGTTGAGTCAAAAATCTCCGAAAATGTACTCCAAAGAGCAAGCCGGCCATTGGGATGTCGAAATCGAGGGGGAGATTAGGCTCAGCTGAAGTGTCACGGGTGAGGTCTGGGCCTCAGGGCTGCTAGCATAGAGGCAGAAAGGAAGAGGTGCCCTGTGTCTGCCCTCGGCTGCAGCAGCACTGGCTCTAATGCTCCCCAACCCTATTCCCGGCCGAGCATCCCCAAAGTGCTATATGGCCAGCAGAGGGCTGGGGCAAGGCAGGTTCAGAGGCCAGCAGGGCACAGGCTGCAGGCACTACTGAGGGGAAGGCCAGGGTGGGGACCATTCACAGCTCGAATCACTCCCACAAGCAGACACTGCCCAGGCCAGGAGGAGACCTTCAGCCCAACCACAGCTCTCCCCTTAGGCAGCTCTACACTGCCCTTGGCAGCCAAGCCCCCAAGGTTTCAGGACAAGGGCTCCACCCCACTGCCTTTCCTGAAGCCCCTCTTACCCACTGCTCTTTAAAATGTGCATTTCAGGTTTTCTGGTTTGTTTTCAATGGGAGGAGAATACTGGGGTGGGGGTGTTCTCAGGTAAGGGCAGGCCAGGTAATCACAGGTAAGGGCCAGAAGGGCCCTGCTCCAAGCCACCTCCCTCCAATGGCAGCTGATGCCATGACTGGAAGTGAATTAATGTAGCTCTCTTCTGCGTTCTCTCTCAGAATAACCTCTCCCATGCCTGAAAGGAATAACACTTGTCATGAACAGAGTTCTTGAGTCTTTTAACGGGGAAAAGTGGAAAGAGCACAAAGCTAGACTCCCTTTCATTTAAATTTGGGTGATGTTACTTCACAGCAAAACAGAGGCAGCTGCTGGAATTCTTGCGGTCAAGTCAGACGAAGGTGTCTGGTGTCCTCGAATCTCTTCAAGAGCTGGTAAAGTATTGTATAAAGACCCAGAGCTCTGAGTCAGGCGGACCTGGATTTAGTGCTGGTGCCAGCCCTCATGAGCTACTTGCTCAACTTCTCTGAACTTCAGACTTCTCATCCAAAGTGGGTACAGCAGACACTTGACTGAAGAGTGGTAGTGACAAGTCACTGTGCAGAGGCTAGCAAGAGCAGGACCAGGCAGGCCAACGCGCCTCATCCTCCTCCAGACCAGACCCATAAACAGGGAGGCAGCCTGCCCCGGCCTAAGGGTGCCCTGAGGCAGGAGCCCAGGGCAGCTTCGGCAGAGATGCCAGTGTCCCCTAGGGCTGCTGCTTGTGAGAAAGCGGGAAATCCATCCTGAGTCTGAACTCTGCCGCAACTGCGCTGGGAACACCAGAGTGTGCACCCCAGGAACAATGACAGTGCCGCTCCCTCTCCCCTGCAGGGCTCAGTGCAGGGAGAACTGCAGGGGGCTCAGTTTATAACACAACAAGAGGCCAGGGGTGGAAACTGTACGCTGCACCTAGTGCTGTCTCTCTGAGAAACACTCACCTCTACTGCGGTTTCTCAGATGCTCGGGGCAGGGTTCACCCCAGGAGACAAGGTCAGAGGGCATGCATACGGCCTGCACCTGCCAGCTGACTGAGGCTTCAGCGCACACACCCCTAGAGCAGAAGTCTCGGTGCTGTACTGAAGCACTGGCAGCAGAGCTCCAAATCGGGACAACTGCCCCTGAGCAGAGAGCAGTACCTGGGCCCCCAGCCCCGCCTCCTCGGTACCCACTCAGCCTCACTTGCTGCGGACACACTTCTCTCTGCAGCTGGGCTGGGATCCTAGAAACACCTGGGCAGGAAACCCGGCGCACGAGCAAAGGGAGAGGGCCTGACCCATCCGACACTGACTTGTTTTCAGACTGCTCTTGAGTCTGGCAGCCATCTGAGGAACTGAGCGGCACCCCAGAGGCACCAATCCTAGCTGCAGCCCATCCGACCACCTGCTCCTCACACTTCCCATGGGGGCTCCCAGGAGCCCAGACAGTGGCAGTCCTGTAGGAAAGGTTCATGCCCATCCAGGTGGGGTCTGGTGGGCAGGGTGGCCCACCATGCAGCCAGTCACCTTTGGCTGCTTCTGTCCATGCTGACAACCCACAGGAAGGCCCAGACACACAGGCTGGGGCTCCACCCACGT